TATCATCGTGAAAACTCGGCGTCAGGCTCGGCTTCGGGTGTCTGAACGAGCTGAATCAAATGATCATGGCTGACCGCCGTCAGGCCTTGGCCGCCGCGTGGAAGGAGGGGAGAACGGCGCACATGGCCGCCAGCTTACGACCACAGCAGCCACCACGCCGCGTCTGGGCGCGCGCCTCAAGTCGCCGCGCGCTTCGCCAATAACGCCAGGCAAATTTGCATTTTTGCTTTTCCGGCTCTCCTTCGCCACTCACCTCGCCGCCAGCACTGGCTGCAACCCGGTGCCGAGAGCCCGCCATCGCCATTGAGGCGCCACTCGCGCCCAGCTCCTCCATCCCCACCGCAACCCTCCACCGTCTTCCCAGCAACCCCCTGCGCCCTACCGTGCCCGCTGTTAGCACTCGGTAAGCCCCAGCGCCGTGCGCTAGCTCGCCGGAGCTCCGCCGCCAACCTCGTCGTCGTGGCCACGCCGTTTTAGTCTACCACTCCACGCGTTAGTTGATGCGCTAGGTTTCCAGTAGCTCGTAGATGCTTGTCCGCGCGTTTGATTGAGCCGCCGAGGTCGTCACCGGCGTAACGCCGTCGTCCAGCCTCGCCGTTCCGCCATGGCCGCCGCCGCTAGCTTTAGGGTCAGCAATAAGGCCAGCCAAGTTGCTCAATAGGTTCGCCAGGTCATGTAGGTCCTACCCTGATGACCTCACCGCCGGCGAACTCCCCGTCGTCGAGTTCTCGCCGCGTCGTGACGAAGCAGCGCCGCTGCTCTGCTCTGTGTCGATGACGTGTGGGGTCCCCTGACCAGCGGGTCCCACCTGTCAGCGACAGCAGTAGTGTAGGCTAAACCATTTTGAATCCAGTTTTTGATTGGTTTTGTTATTTTTGTATCTGCAGATTGGTAGCTCCAAAAATGTTGAAATAAATATGGTTGTGTTGCTTAGGAAGTGTAGTATTTTGGAAAAATATGTTCTTGGTTTCAACAGTAGAAATTTCTGGAGATTTAAATAGGGATTTGAAATGTGCTTTTGAATGCATTCAAATTTGTTTATTTTATATCTAGAGTTCCTGTGCTCCAAAAATTATGAAATTTTTGTGGTGAACTAATCTTAGCATATGTGAGCCCTGGTAAAAATTTGAGGACCAGTGCATGGGTAGATTTAAAGTTATAGATTTTTCTTTTATGACTAGTTAATCCTTGCATGAATTTTCATAAATTAAGTATGAGTCCAAAATTCATGAAATTTGTTGGAGGTGATACTAGTACCATATGGATGCTAAGAAAAATATAAAATCTGTTGTTTGACACTTTTCAATAGGATTTTCCATTTATGCTAATTCAAGCCTTGCTGCCTTGTCATTTTTGTATAGAATGTTCTACTTGGTAAAATGACATGAAATTTTTACAGTAGTCTCTTGATAGCATTAGTAAAGCTCTGTAAATTTTTGAGAATTTATTAAGCACATCTGATATATATTTATTATTTAACCTAGATATCTAAATAAAATAATAAAGGCAATTTAATAAATAGTTTGGGCTTTACCATTATATCATCTTAACTGTATTTGGTATGCTTAAACTATTGGTAGGTTCTAGGTTGTCAAATTTTGAATGATTACCTGAAGGAGAAGTATTCTTACTTTATGTTGCATGTTAAGTCATTTCCGGACTGATTCTAGAGTGTGAGGATTTGCATGTTGAAACTAATGTGTACTGTAAAAATGGTTAATAACAAAGTTGTAGAGAATTGGATAAGCTTTCCAGAAAGTCCTAGATCACTAGATTTGGATTTGTAGAACTCCAGTTATGAGCGAAAACAAGTAGCTATTGTTTGTGGCATAGTCGATGCTTTGTAGAAGTAGTTAAGTAGTAAACGAGAAGAGATATGCACCTACTCAAACAACGTGATGCACTTGTTAACATATATGCATTCATAATACTTATACCATACTCATGCATCTAGGATCGGAGGAAGAGATCACGTTGCTGGAATTCAAGAAGCGAGGAAGGAACCCGCAGGAGGATCCGCAAGCCAGCAGCCCCGGCTAGGCGTGGAGCGTAACCTCAAGAGCTTCCTGAGTGCCCTCGACCACCGTCCTACTTCTTTTCTCTCATGAGGCAAGCCCCGAGCATTATAAGTCTCCCAGAATTTACAAATGTTTACTTACTTATTTATGATTGATGCATTAGGTTATAAGAGTTGAATGAAACCACTTGATGCATGTACATTCCTTGTCCAGATATTACACCTTTAACCGGTATAGGTCCGTGATCGAATATCTATATGCTTAGCCATGCTTAGACCGGTAGAAGTCGGGTGATGTCCTCACACCGCGAGATATAGGTGGATACCGAAGCACGGTTGGCTATATCTCGCTATCGTGGAAAAAGAACCATGAGGTAAAAGTAAATTGAGACCGGACGGGAGATCGATAGGGAAGCAACAAGGCATGGAGGTCTTGGGTGTGGACTTATCCCGTCTGTGTCGATTAAGGACCGTACTGCTTGTTGGCGCTTCCGACAAGATTGAACGCATGCCTCTCACTTAGCTGGCCGGATAATTCGCTCCGACCGCTGGCCGAGTAATTCAACTCGGGCCGGAATCGTTTCATAGCGCCCCTTCCGGGAACGATCGACCGAGCCCAAGGGCAGGTTTGGCTCGAGCATCCCGGCATCCGGTGTTCCAGATAAAGCGGTGCGATCGAACCCGCGAAATGTGTACCTGAGTTGTACCAAAGGTGACCTAAGACTATCGTGGGTCGGTAGATCTGGGTTTGTGTTAGGAATAAATTCCCGGTGGTTGAAATCGATTCAAATCGCCGCCTCTCCGGATAGTGAGAAACTTGGCTAGTCCCAACATCGTAGCAGCTATATTATGAAACATGGTGGTTCAGATGAATATGGAATTACAATACCTGCTATGGTTACTATTGTATGCTTCTAAATGATATTCCACATGTTTGGCACAGGATAGTTGCTAATCTAGAAATGGATAGTTATAATTAACTTGATAAAGGAATCATAATTGTACAACGGATCAATTGCCTTTTTCGCAAAATGTTGTCAAGTTATGTCCACTTATACAAACCTTGCATACTCCTTGGAGTCATTTTATTTCTGGTTCATGACGGTAAGTCTAGTGAGTACCTTCTCGTACTCGTGGTTTATTTTCCCAATGTTGCGTATGGCACTCGTGTATCATGGTTATTGCAAGAGTTGCTTCTATCCTCATTGTGGATGAGGAGTAAGCCTTGGGCGTGCTTCCTTAGTAATTCCTATCTTTGCTTTTGTGGATCGTGATCTGGCATGGCACTGTATCAAACTATGTTGGAAACTTATTTTCAAACTTATTTGCTTCCGCTTTAATTATCAAACTCGGTTTGTAATAACTTTTTATTCGTACTCTGATGATGAAAGTATCTGTGAACTTTATGTAATATGTGGCATGTATGTTGAATCCTGTACGATCTTGGTTGTTGTAAATCGTTTATCGAGACCCGTCGTGGTACTCGACGGACTACCGGGTTTATATGGGTTCAAGTATGACAGTGCGACCGCTTGCGGATTGCCATTGTACTTGTATTCTTATAAATTGGTCGGTTCTGCGACATCAGGTGATTTCCTGTCACCTGCGAGATATAGGAAGATACATATGGCACGGATGGCTATATTTGCTATCGTGGAAAAGAACCAGTCTTAATGTGAAATAAAGACCGGACGGAGGCTTGCGGTTTTGCGGTGACTCTGTCTGTGGTCGATTAAGGACTGAATCTTGGAGCCTTTCCTGCTCATGTTGAACGATGCCTCTCTCTTAGTTGGCCGGGTCTTGAGACCGACCACGGCCGAGTAGCTCACCTCGGGCCGGAGTCGATAAGTATAAAGTGCGCCTCGGAAGGGAGCCGTGGCGTGAGTCAAAGGGTGTGATTTAAAAGTCCCGATCGTCTGGCGGAAGGGTAATCCCCGAGAGTCTTGGCGCCGATCGAACCCGCTGAATTTGGTTCCCGAAGTTGTTCCAAAGGTGATCCACGGCTACCCTTGCTAAGTATGCCGGGGTGAGAGTTAGAATACCCCTTAGCTGAGTTGTAATTCGATTCGAGTCGCCGCCTCCCAGCTTAGTGAGAACTTGACGGGCTTATCTCCAATGTAGATACACTAAATAACATAATGGTTCGTAAATGATGATATGATGATGACAAATTATTATACCGCTATGGTTAATATTGTTTGCTCCTAATAAGTGAGTGCTCTAGTACAATGGTGCTAATCTAGTGGATGTAAATGATGATAAGCTTGATGCTAAGTTTAAATTGGTCACTATATTCATAAGCTCTTTGATACAACTGTGTCAAGCTAGCCCACCTCATAAGCCTTGCATGATCCTTGGTGTCTTTTATTTCTGGTTTTGATGGATAAGTCTAGCTGAGTACCTTCTCGTACTCAGGGTTTATCTCCCACCTGTTGCAGGTGACCAGTTCTACTTTGGTTCTCGCAAGTATTGCCTTCTTCCTACTGGGATGAAGGCTAGACCGCTATGCGCGGTCTCTACTAGTTCTCGTGACTGATGATGCTTTTGTGGGACATGACTCGAGACTTGGCAATGTATTTGAAACTATGAAGTTATGTACTAAACTATGTTGCTTCCGCAAATTTAAACTTGGTTTGTAATATTTTATTTTGAACTCTGATGGATGTAATCCGAATGCTACTTGTGAAATGTTGTAACGAATGATGTGTTGTGTTGAATCACTACGGTCTTAGTTTGTATGTCGAGAGTTGGTTGAAATCCTTCGTGATTTCCGGACTACCGGGATTATGGGAGCTTAAGTACGTAAATTTGATCGCCTTCGGATTTTTTTTGTACTTATGTTCTTATGATTTGGTCGGTTCACATTCTGATACCCGACCTACTTCCACCCCAGTGTCGTCAGACGCCGACGTGTTCGGCAAGCGTGATTGTGGTGTGTGCGGCCAAAGAACGGACGTGGCTCATGGCGTTCGTATGCGCGCAGCTGCGCCGGACGTTCGCCGAGAGATCCAGTCCGGAACGCGTGATCGCTAAGCAGCGCAAGGCGCCCAGCGCCCAGCGCCTCGCCATGCCGCAGCCGCACCTCCGCAGCGCTCTCGGCGATGCCAGTGCTGCCACAATTTCGCCGACATTATGCGTCTATTCCGAAGGCCACCTTCTACCGCAACCACCGGCGGCGACGACTACTACTCCCGCGCTGCGACGGTCGGTATTCGACTCGATGGTGGCCGGTCGCATCCCGGTGTTTCTTCCACACGGGACGGCGTGCGACGAGCGATACCGTGGCATCTCCCGAGAGGACGGCCACCTCAAGTACTCGGTGTTCATCCCGGACGCCGACGTGAGGCGGCGCAATGTGAGCGCCGAGGCCGTGCTTCGGAAGATCCCTCCGCCACGGTGGAGCGGATGCGGGAGGAGGTGATCATGCTCATCCCGACTTTGTTGTACGCCGACCCCAGTGTCGGCCGGAGACGATCAAGGACGCGGTCGACGTCGCCATTGATGGGATCCTAGACACGGTGGCGCCGGATCAAGAACGGCGAGCAAGTCAATTGTGGCGGGCGGTGGCCACGGATCCATCGAACCTTTTCGCCGCGACAAGATCAAGGATCGCGCCGAATGGATCGGTGCGGCAGCTTGACCAAAGATCGGTAATTTTGAACCGGCGAAGGGATCTGTGTTTTTTACAGAGTATATCTTCGTGTGGTAGCAGTGATCCGCTTTGGCACAGCTTCTAGGCCCCGTTTGGCAGGGCTTCACTTCAGTGAAGCTTTTTTTTTTTGCTTCAGCTCCACGAACAGTTCCACCGGTGGAGCTGAAACGGTTTTGGTAAATCGTTTGGCAAAATGGCTTCCCTGCGAGAGCATGTTTTCAGGGGCATGGAGGAGGAACTGGGAGAAGCCACTTTTTTTTGGCTCCATCCCACCCCAAATCACTGTGAGAGCATGTTTTTAGGGGCTTCACAAGTGAAGCTATTTTACTTTACCTCGTTTGGTAGAAAACGGTTCCAAACGGTTCCTAAAGCCGGTGGAGAAGCCCTGCTAAACGGGGCCTTAGTTGTTTCATCTAGAAAAACAGGTGCAGCCCTAGTGATAGCCGGAGCAACTCCATGAGTTTTCTAAATCCATCAGACCATCTGTTCGTTAAACCAAGGGGATTGGGAGGGATGGCGGGGTATTAAATCCCCTAGGAGTCAAAATCCTTCTCAACCCCCTCCAATCCTTCAATCCGTTTGATTTTGACAACCACCGAACAAGGCATCAGATGGATTATACAATGAAATCATTTCTGCAAGTTGAAGATTGCAAGAATTTGTAAAGAACACAGCTATGTCTCATATTGATATGGCCCTGTTAGTTTCGCTGAAATTTGGCTGCTGTTGATGCTGATTTGTCGTGAGAGAAAAATACTGTTCCTTCACTTAAAAGTACTGTTGAGGTAGTACTGAAAAACAGGGCGGATCATCAGTATGCCGATACGATAGATTTCCACTTGCGGCAAAAAAGAAAGAAAGATAGATTTCCAATATTTTGTGTAACGTTCCATTTGGAATTGCTAAAAGATTTGTAAAGTAATCTGAACATGGGCATTATATGAAAGGTGAAAATTTTAACTTGATAAGCAGCACGTCAATTACTTGAACTTTTAACATTTAAACTACTTCCAAGAAAGAAGTGAAAAATGGAAGACATACCTAATTGGGCTGTCCACGCACTTGCAGGGCTATTGCACAGAACGCACTAAAAGGACACCACTTCTCATGCACGCACGGCGCAATATTACAAAGGAGTTGCTATTGTTCCATCAAGTAGCCTTTGCTCCATTTTCCTACACACAACACGTGCATGGAGCATGGAAGCTTGAAACATCAAATTAAACCAGCACCGGTTCCTTTTTTTAAAAAAAAGGTGAAGTGTATAAACATAGTCTTCCTCATCTTGAGTGGGTCCCACTAAATATTGAAAGCATTCATTCCCTCTGCTGTCTCTTCTTGTCTATTGTCACAAATTTTTAACTCAGCCAAACATCTGCTAGAAGAGTAGAAGCCTCCATACCTGATTTTTTTGAAGTGTTGCAATGGTAAACCTCGAGTCTTGGGAAGAAAGATGATACGGATATTCTTTTGTTTTTTTAAAAAGTTGAATATTCTTCGAGGCATCGGTGAAAATCAACGCTGTGGGTAGTCTAAGGGCATGTTGACGTACAATCTAAAGTGATGTGCAGTGAATCCAGTGATGGAATGGGAGATAGGTATTGATAGCACATTTTGCTCTCCCATCCCCTCATGTTACTACGGACCGCAACCCTATGCGTGGGACGGATTGACACGTAGTGGGAGGTGTTTTCGTGATGTATCTAGTGATACTAATTTGGTGTCATAAATATCTAGTGACGATATTTTCTATGAAGCTAGTCAAATTTAAAATAGTTTGACTTAGTTTTGATTTAAGATGGATGAAATATGAATCTAGCATGTGGACCCCTCATGATAGGTCTACATCAACACACGGTGGCATGCCACGTTAAAGCAGGAAGCAGGTCATGACCCATTTAGACCATAGTTATTAGGACCGGACCGACGGTTGGACCGCTAAAAGACCGAACCAGAGCCTAAACCGGTTCGGTTCATTTAAAAGACCGTTCGTGTAATCAAACCGGTAAAAACCGGTTGAATTGGCCATTTTTTTATGGAACCGGTGAACCGGTCGGTTGCATTCAAACCGCCCCGGTTCCATTCGCCATTGCAAACCGGCCATTGTTGGCCGGTTCAACGGTTCCACAAATAACTGGCTGGTTCAACCGGTTTGTACCGGCTCGATTGCACAGACGGTCTTTTGAGTGAACCGGACCGTTCAGGCTTTGGTTCGGTCTTTTAGCGGTCCGATCGCCAGTCCAGTCCGGTCCTAATAACTATGCTCGGATGACACCAGCAGCCAAGTCTAGGGACCTAATGATAATACTTTTAAAGTTGTTGACCTAAATGACACTTGGTCTAAATTTAGAAATCCTACAAAATAATAATTTCTAAGCTAGAGGACTGAAATGACACTCTTTACCAAGTTCAATGATCGCTCCCTAATTTTTTTAGAAACACGGCAAGAGCTTTGCGATTTTTATTAGATGAATAAAAAGAAAAAAAGAAAAATTACAACCACTAACACAGCAGCGACGTCTGTGCTACTTTTCCGCAATTCGAATATTGATTGCCCGCCCCCAGCGCTACGCTCCCCATGCATAAGGCGCCCGCATATGATCAGCTTACTCAGATGCGTGACTGCCAGAATGAAACAGAGCTAGCTTGCCATATCCCTCCGGAAAGAACCTTGATGCCGTCGAGGCGAAAAGGTTCGGCGGATCCTTGTCCACTGGCCCGCCACAGTTGACATCCTCGCCGTTCTTGATCCGCGCCACCGTGTCGAGGATCCCATCGACGGCGACGTCGACCGCATCCTTGAGAGTCTCCAGCTTTGACCTAGGGTCGGCGTACAACAAACTCGGGATGAGCCTGATCACCTCCTTCCGCATCCGAGCCACCGTGGCCGGAGGGATCGCCCGGAGCACGGCCTCGATGCTCACGTTGCGCCGCCTCACGTCCGCGGTCGGGATGAACACCGAAAACTTGAGGTGGTCATCCTTGGGGAGGTGCCACGGATACTGCTTGTACGCCGACCCCGTGTGGAAGAACACCGGGATGCACCCGGCCACCATCGAGTCGAACACCGACCGTCGCGTGGGGGAGTCGCCCGGAGGCTGCAAGCAGAAGGTGGCCTTCTGGAAGAGCCGCATGATGTTGGCGGGGCTGTGGCACTGCGTGCTGCTGGGTGTGCGCGCGCAGCTCAGCATGGCGCAGGCGCTGGACGCCTTGCACTGCGCGATGACGTGATCCCGGACCCGGATGCTCATCTGAACGTCCGGCCGCGGCGCGCCCACGAACGCCATGAGTCACGTCCGGCGCTGGCCGCGCACCCTGTCCTGCCACCGGAGCACGTCGGCGTCCCACCTGGGGTGGAAGTAGGTCGGGTACGGCACGGAGAAGTCGGTGCCGCGTTTCAGCGTGGACTCCAGCACGAGCACGGACATGTTCCGGGCTCCCGGAATGACGAGGAGGTCATTGCCCCAGTCCGCGCCGAGGTTGCTGATCCTCCGGAAGTCCCACCCTGTTCGCCCGGCAACGAGGAAGTGGTCGCGCCCTCCCATGCGCTGCCACTGAGGCCGTGCCATGAGCCACCTTGTCAGGTCCACCGACGCGGCGTCTCTGGTGGCGTTGTCGAAGCCCCAGTGGTAGCGGGCGAAGTCGAAGCCGGCGTAGAACGGGACGAACACGGCGGAGGCCACGGCGGAGTGGTTGGTCAGGCACTCGTACTGTCTCATCCGGTTGTGGAAGATGGCGTCCAGCGAGAATTGGTGCGTGCCGTACCACCCGTCTCCGCCCGTGATGACACCGCTGTCGTCCGTGCCGTCGTGGGCGAGCGGACGGCCGAGGCCGGCGTTGCTCAGGGAGGCGCAGATGTCGCCCCAGTGGCCCTCATTGTTGCGACAGTCGTTGTGGATAATGTCGGCGTTGAAAAGCGGCGGCAGGTCGTGCATGTAGATGTACCGTCCCCGGCACGGGTCGGCGAGGCGATCCCCGTTGCTCACCTCCACCGTGCTGGTAATCACGGAGAAATGCACGTAGAGGAAGAAGGTCCATGCTGCCAAGGCGAGGGCGGCGAGGATTCTCGGCGGTGGCAATACGTTCGCCGCCGCCTTGATCTCGGTCCCCTTCACTTCGACGGTCCGGCGCGATCGAGCACTGCCGCCGCCTTTACGTCCAGATTTGACTAGCTAGGGAAACAAAGAGCATGAAGCAGCATCGGATCGAAGGTCTACGTATCATCCGTTCGAGAAGGAAGAACAAATTAAAGTTGCGGCAAGATCGGATTGGACGATAGAAAATCAAAAGAATATGCGTAGCTCACCAGTTGTACGATCGAGTTGGCTACGCTCAGTTGCATGGTTGAGTATGTGTAGCAATGGATATACAGAGTGATTAATTGGAGAGGAGGAGAAGGCGAAGGTGGAAGCTCAATTGTATCCAGAGGCAGACGAGCGATGAACTACAATGCACGTACTGTCTTTCCGACGAAACGATCGTCCACACTACTGTGCTCTCTGAAGTTTGGCACTGGACGGGAATACCAATACTGGTCCATCACTCGATCTTCTAGTGCACAGCCCCTCGCTTTGGGACAGCGTACGTTGACAATGGACACTCTGGAGCGTGCAGGATAGCACTCTGCACCTACATGGTCGGCATCAATTAAGTGCATTATTTAATCAGTTGTTTATGTTAGTAATAGCCCCCTTGGTTTCAAAAATTCAAATTATAGCTCCCTTTGTTTTATTCAACGTTAAATTTCTTTAACTCCGATCTAATATATATAGAGAAATGCATTAATATCTAGACATCAAATCGCAGAGACCGGAACTTTTCCTCTCTTTTTTTCAAAAAAAAAATCTAGAATATCAAGTTAGTTTTTATATTAGATTCTTCATGATATATGTTTTAATAGATCATTTGTTTGAATCTGTAGATGTTAATGTATTTTAAAAAAAAAACTTGATCAAAACGAGAGAACTTTGATTTAGGACAAAAACAAGAACTATAGTTTGGAACGAGGGAAGTACTCGGTAGAAGATTAATAATACACATACACTAGTTAGATGGTCAACGAAGACTTTTATACATTCTTGGAGTGCTATGTTACTCACTGAGCATATAAGGTGTAATTGGTTGCTTATATTAGCCTTAACCTACATTAGATCTTATGCAACATAACTTAAGCCAATATAAACATATGCAATATTTTTGTGTTTGGTTGTCCTACACAGATCGACAAGTTGTGTTGGCAAAGATCGTGTTTGGTTGCTTACATTGTGTTACATATACTTACATGTAGTACCTCCATGTTCTAATAGAGCCAGAGGTCACATGTTCTAATTGAGATGATGAGTTGAGAAGATTTTATTTCTTTGTGTGTCCCATCGGCTTGTGCAAATCCGTATTGTCTAATATGACCATGCATATTGCCTAATATGGCCAGCGGCTAAACTGCACCACAAATTCTGGAGACATGCTAATGCATACAACAAATAGACTCAATTTCGGCACATGCAGATTGGTCTATCATTATGTCCACCTTTTCTCAGATTATTTCCTGCTGCATCAGTTGCTAATTTTAGCATTAGGAGATCGTTGATGGACAGTTATTTTATTTAGCTTAGGATGCATGAGAGATGGTAACACATGCCGATCTAACATTAATCTGTTTTCACGCGAGACTTGGTTAGTTGCTTCGAATAGTTTGCGAGGAGGTGTAGTCGCAGACTTTTACGGTATCATCACTTGCTAGATCCCGCACACAGCTGGTTGATTCAAAAACTAGAGTTGAAGGAGTTGAACATGCATGTGGTAAACTAATAGCAAATGTGACAATACTATACTGGTAATTAGCAGCGGTTAAATCGAGAGTGTGTGCATACACTTGCATAGCTACGGCCTCCTCTCCACATGTTAACGTGGTTTTCTGACACTGGGTCCCGTAAACAAAGCTCCTAGTGGATCGTTGCATATTCTGCTAGCAACTTGCTGGGTGGCTAGTGGCTACGCAGCACGTCGGGCGCCTCAGCTTATTTCGTCCAATGAGGCAATGATCCAGAGTGATGCTGCTGATACCGAAGCTGTGTGCTTCGAATCTTCTATCGAGAAACCGAAAGCTGGTCGGACGGACTGCGCAGCACTAGATTCGAAGGCCCGTTAAGATCTACTAGTAGCTGATTGGTTAGGACTCTGCAAAACCAAATGTTAATGGAATTGATACGGCTGTGATCTGAATAAATATAACCTAAAACTGTGATTGTTTGGTTCGCATTAGTAATGGAAAGAGAAACATTGGTCGCCACCCTCCTCTTCTCGCTGACTGCTCCTCCGTCCGGCCATGCCACATCTAGCTTGTCTCCTGCCCAATCAACACTTTTTCTGTCAAGCCAAGCTAGCTTTTTCCTTACCTGAATATAATCAATCTTGTTGCGGCTCAAATCGGTCTTGTGGTCATCCGTTTCTACATCGCTGCTACTGGATGGACCGCTTCCATGGATGGCGGGACAGATTGGAAAATTAAGAGAGAAAAGGGCATGTTTGGAAGGCTGGTTTTCAAACCAAAACCAGTGTACATACATGCCTCGAAACTTTTACAGGTCAGATCTTTGAGTGCCCTTCCCATTTATTCTAGTGTGACCATAAGTCTTCCCATCTATCATAGTATGACCATAAGTCATAAGTTTTAAGTTGTGTTTGTTTCAACTTCTGGAAAGTGCTTCTGCTGTAAAAAAAAACAGAAAGCCTATCAAATAGGTAGAACCATAAACAGCTTTTCCAAAAGTAACTGTTTTCGCTTAGTATAATTTTCACAGCACCTTGGACCCTACTTTTAATTTTCAACTTTTAGTTTTTTTTTCTAAATGGATGGAAATAGAGAGGCATTTTACAATAGTTTCAAGAGAGATAAAGAGATATGTGTATGTTTCATAGTTATTTTAACCAAATAACCTACAACTTTTTCACAGCACACGACTCATGCATAACAGTTTTTTCAAAGCTCACAGCTCTCACATGAGCTTTTTCACAGCTAATAGTTGGAGTGTTCAACCAAACAGGCCCTTATTGGAGTTGCTCATCTTATAGGTTAGATAAAGCTTGGCAAATTTACTTAGGATGCTAATTTAGTTTCTTAGTGAGTCTCTTCTCAAGGGCATAATTAGTATGGTGCGCCTAAGAGCAACTCCAGCAGACCCCTACATGAACCCCTAGCTAAATATAGGTGCCTAGGCAAAAACATCACTCCAATAGACCCTACTCCATACCCCAAATTTGTTGGGGGCACCGAAATCCACCCTAGGGCCAACAATCTGTTGGGTCAGCTTCAGCCCCCGTCTGGTCGTTGCTTCTGTTTCTTGACCAGCGGTCACAAGGAACTCCCTCCGCTCCGGCGACCTCCCCTAGCCCGGTGACCCTCCGGCGAGCCACCTTCCCCGTCGAGCGGACACGGACCTCCTCCCACTCCCACTTGCCCGTCCGCCTCCCTACTCATGCAGTGCAGTCCGCCTCCCAGTTCACGCCGCCACGCCTGAATGCTGCTCTGCTCGCGCTGCCCTGCTCGCGCCGTCCTACTCGTGTGGCCAGGCGGAGCTCGTCCCACGGTGGAGCACCGCCCTGCTCGCGTGGCCTCCTCCACGGCACGGCCTCCTCCCCGGCTCGCGGCCTCCTTCTCGGCGTGCCCTCCTCCATGGCGCGGCCTCCCCGACGCGACAGACGCGACGACGCAGTAGGCCCTCACGAATGGCAGCGTGTATTTGGTCTTTCCGGCGCTGTGGATTTGGTCTTCCCGGCGACTCCTACAGTCCCCGCTGCTCCGAATCGAGGTCTTCTCGACGGCTTCTACAATCCCCGCTGCTCCAAATCGAGGAGTTCGGCTCCTCCCCTCCGTCCTCAGGGCCATCGCTGTCCTAGGACCGCCGGTCGATCCTTCGCGCCCACGCCCGCCGCTCGCACGATGGATAGAGGAGTTCAGCGCTTGTCGAGCCCCTCCCTTCCTCTGTTCGTGTTGCAATAGATTAGATGGTAAAACATTGAAGAAGACAAATGGGTCACAGTTGTCATTGTGTATTAAAAGGATTTGAGGGCTTTGTTTTGAGGGCTCCTGCTGGAGCACAAAATAGAGGGCCAACAAAAATAAGGGTGAGCACCCAGATCGAAAATAGGGGCTACTGCTGGAGTTGCTCTAAGGACTTTCTAGTGTGATCTTGTTAGTCTTAGGTGCGTGAAAGTGGGTGAAATAGTTTTGCATAGGATGAGGTGGGTACCTAGCTAATGATGTTTTTTGGGTCCTTTAACTAGCAAGAATGCAACACACATTTTATTAAACATTTAGGGATATCAACAAGGATGCAGGTGGGTACCCAATGATGTTTTTTTGGGTCAACTAACTAATCATGGTCAAATGCCATTATAGTTCATCCCCCCCCCCTCCAATTAAATTACGTGAAATGTCATTCTAGTTCATTTGAGCAAGTTTTTTTTATCGAACTAATGACCCAAAGTAATTAGAACTTGCATCCCTAGATATCAGCCTTTAGCGGAGTTGAAAACAGGTTGAGGAAAATATTATAACCTTGGAAGGGGAAGAACATGGCATCAGGAGGTACATTGATCTTAACAAACACTTCTTTAAGTTACCTTTCCCATTTACATAATGGGGATGTATATGCTATACTATATGAAGGAACTCACGAACAGATGAATACCATATATAAAACCCAAATTCTTTTAGCAAGAGACTAATGACAGGTTTAGATATCACATGATGAAATGGGATTATTTATGTATTCCTAAAGATTTTGGTGGCCTAGGGATCCCGAACACTAGAATCTCGTAAATGAAGCTCTATTATGAATTTATACAAATGGGTGTGTAGGTTATATAAGGAGGAGGGGGGGAAGACCTATGCTACAATTTGTTGAAACAGAAATATCTATAAAATAAAACTTTGGCTCAATGCAATAGTTCTACATGCTCATGGAAAGGAATAAACAAAGTCAATATAGCAGAAGTTAAAAACGTGAAATGTCATTCTAGCATATAACTTTGCTAAAAAAAAGGAGGATTTGGTGTTCCTGGATGACAAGTTACATATCATGGAGATGTGGCTACTATACTTTTGGCACAATAACCGCAAGATGACCATCCATGAAAGTGGAAGGGCTATTTTAAAGCTTGCATGTCTTGTTTCTTTTGTTGTAGGGAGTTTCTTTTAAGTTGTTGGATAGTTTCTTGATGCTTTTAATGTTGAATGCATTCATGCCAGTTGCATATCATGTATTGTTATGGAGAGTTCTCAAATTGTGTTTAGACATCGAAACTTAGAACTAAATCATTTTTTGGAAAGCTTCTAGAGATACTTTCATAAGTTCCAAATATTTTATTTGAGTTACCGTGTCCCAATCTATCTCCAAGACTTTTTTTTTTCTGAAATTTTAGAAGTTTAAAGACATTTGTATAGTTTAAAAACCTTATCAAATATTTACCATATTTTTAAACTAGGAAATGATGAAACCACTTTAAAAAACACTTATAACCGGCACGGGAAGGTATGTTAAATGGTTCAAGGAGGTATTTTAACTAGTTAGATATTTGAGAGGGCAATATATCTAATTTTAGAGTTTGAGGTAAGAGATTTTTTTTCAAAAATAAACATTGATGTACCTTCCAATCTAGTGTCGCCTCTGGATCATTGGTCCAACTAATCTTAAGTGTCTTCTCCCAACATCTCATGGCCGACGTGTTGCATGGCAAGCAAGTTGCTACCAAAATAAGGGTTTGTTTGGCTGCACATAAATCAGGTGGATTTATGTGCAGCCAAACAAAGCCTAAGCAAGTGCATCTGTGTCACTGTGTGTGTATGTACGCTCTCTCGATTAACCACCGCGAATTACCGCACAGTAGTATCCCATTTGCTATTGGTTTATCTTGCTCAACTCACTAAGTTACACTGTTACTGGGCGCAGACTAATGTTAGAGCGCCATGTGCAAGTACAAGTGCAGCGCACATGTCATCATCGCCTATTCTTATTCTCCCAAGCTAAATAAAAATTAGCTGTCAGTCAACAATCTCGAACCTTCTAATGTTAAACTAGAAACTGCCGCGGCAGAAAATAATTCGTCGAAAAGGTGGGTGGACAGAATGATAGATCGATCTGCATGTGCAAACTCAGGCATCGTCTCATCTCCACACAGTGTGTACAACAGTACAAGTCGTCATTGACCAGCTCACACAGTACTCATATTAGCCTTCTGTACCCAGTACTTATATTAGAGAAACAACTGAACAAACAATAAACCCGTAAGATAAATAATGCAATTAATTGATGCCGACCGTGTAGGTGCACAGAGTGCTAGTACGCTGTAATCCCCATTGTCAACGTAACTGCCACGAAGAGGGGTTGGTATTCCCGCTGAACAACTTGCTAAACCGTTGAGACTTGAGAGCACATGTGGACGGTCAGTTCGTCAGAGAGACATCACTACTACATCAGTGCAGGCAGGCCACAGGGAGTAGCTCATCGCTCGTCTACCTCGGGATAGCTTTCTCCGATTCCGATCCTCCTCTCCAGTTAATCCCTCTGTCCATCGCTACACATATCGTGCACTGCTGTAGCTACTACATTCCGACATGAAACGGAGCGCTGCCAACTCGATCGTACAACTGGTGAGCCATATTCTTTTCTATACTGCCGCCCAATCCAATCTTGCCTCAACTTTGTTCGTTCTGGAACTGATGGTACTCCATGGTCCATGCTCTGCGTTTCCCTAGCTGGTTAAATCTGCGCGCAAAGCCGCCGGCGGTGCTCGGTCGCGCCGGGCCGTCGGGGTGAAGGGAATTGGGATCAAGGCGGCGGCGAACGTGTTGCCGCGGCTGTGGATCCTCGCCGTCCTCGGCGTGGTAGCGTGGACCTTCTTCCTCTACGTGCATTTCACCGTGATCAGCAACACGGTGGAGGTGAGCGACGGGGACGGCCTCGCAGCCGACCCGTGCCGGGGGCGGTACATCTACATGCACGACCTGCCGCCTCGTTTCAACGCCGACATCATCCGCGACTGCCGCAAGACCGAGGACCACTGGGGCGACATGTGCGGCTTCGTGAGCAACGCCGGCCTCGGGCGTCCCCTCGCCGCCGACGACGACGGTGTCATCACGGGCGAGGCTGGGTGGTACGGCACGCACCAGTTCGCCCTGGACGCCATCTTCCACAACCGGATGAAGCAGTACGAGTGCCTGACCAACCACTCCGCCGTGGCGTCCGCCGTGTTCGTCCCGTTCTACGCCGGCTTCGACTTCTCCCGCTACCACTGGGGCTACGACAACGCCACCAGGGACGCCGCGTCGGTGGACCTGATAGAGTGGCTCATGGCACGGCCACAGTGGCGGCGCAAATGGGGCCACGACCACTTCCTCGTCGCGGGGAGAATAGGGTGGGACTTCCGGAGGAGCAGCAACGTGAACCCGGACTGGGGCACCGACCTCCTCGCCATGCCGGGTGGCCGGAACATGACCGTGCTCGTGCTGGAGTCCACGCTGAAATACACCAGCGACTTCTCCGTGCCCTACCCGACCTACTTCCACCCCAGGTCGGACGCCGACGTGCTCCGGTGGCAGGACAGGGTGCGCGGTCAGAACCGGACGTGGCTCATGGCGTTCGTGGGTGCGCCGCGGCCGGACGTTCCGATGAGCATCCGGATCCGGGATCACGTCATCGCGCAGTGCAAGGCGTCCAGCGCCTGCGCAATGCTGGGGTGCGCTCGCACCCTCGGCAGCCCGCAGTGCCACTCCCCCGCCAACATCATGCGGCTGTTCCAGAAGGCCACCTTCTGCCTGCAACCGCCGGGCGACTCCCCCACGCGACGGTCGGTGTTCGACTCGATGGTGGCCGGCTGCATCCCGGTGTTCTTCCACACGGGGACGGCGTACGAGCAGTACCCGTGGCATCTCCCCGAGGACGGCCACCTCAAGTACTCGGTGTTCATCCCGGACGCCGACGTGAGGCGGCGCAACGTGAGCGTCGAGGCCGTGCTCCGGAAGATCCCTCCGGCCACGGTGGAGCGGATGCGGGAGGAGGTGATCAGGCTCATCCCGAGGGTCCTGTACGCCGACCCGAGGTCGAAGCTGGAGACCGTGAAGGACGCGGTGGACGTCGCCGTCGAGGGGGTCCTCGACACGGTGGCGCGGACCAAGAATCCGCCGCCGAGCCTTTTCGCCGCCATTGTATCAAGGTTCCTGCCGAAGGGATCTTGGAAAGCAGCTCGCTAGCTCTGTTTCATTCCACGCAGCTGGTTGGGTAACAAAATGTGAGCGCCTCATCCAAGGCCGCAGGGACCGTGGCGCTGATGGCTGCTGCGGCAGCTCGGAGAGGGGCGATCGGTATTTGAAACGCCGACAACCTGGGCCGGGGTGGCCACAGCGACCAGGTGTTCCGCCGAGCGCGGGGGCAGAGAAGACGTGCAACGTAACTTGATCATTGGGAACGCGATGCCGCTGGCAGCATGCTGTGGGTGAGGCTCGAGGAGCACGCGGTGATCTCTGCGCTTGTGCCTGTCGCTGCAAGATTGACCTGCAACGCTGCGTGAGCTCCAATGCTCCATCCACCTACTCCAAGAAGGCCTTCGGTGCCTGTTGCTTGCCTTGCCCTGCACAAGCGTTGAGTGAGCTTGCTCTCGCTGGTGCTATAGCCTATAGCCCAGTACTCGGAAGATCCATTTTGCTATGCACAAAAAAAAGAAAAGAAAAGACAAAACGACTTATAATTTAGAACGAATGGAGTACTACATATGACTTCATAACCATCTAGTAAAATAATTGAAGTGGCTCCAATAGTCGTTTGCTGCTTTTATTTGCTGAATAAAATGCTCGAGGATGTGACCATTATTCATTAGTGTCCACCTGAT